CGCAGCATGATGTTAATTTAGTAAAGTATGGTCAAATTTACTGTAAAATGGACCATAAAGCAGAGTATTCTTCAGGGTGTGGATACCAAACTGTCAGACAAGGCAGTTATGATCAAATATGAATCAAGATTCTGTTACTGCATTGCTTTTTTTGTCACTAAAATGATTTCAAAAACATATTTTAGCATACTTTTTATCTGTAATACGACAATGTGTGTGACCAGTTCAGCGGCTAATGTTTCCTGCTACGGGCGAGTTTAAACTAAGCACAGTTCAACTCGCAGTACGTCACTATTGCTCATACCAAAACCCCAACATGGAGACAGCCATAATGCCAAACACGAGGCTTCAGAATGGTACACCACTAACCAATGGGTGATATCATTTGACTTAGTCAAAGTTTACCACAATAACTCTTCAAGCAAATCCATTGACCATCCACTGATTCTGGTAATTCCCTTGAGAATCAGCTGGTTTTGCCACTTTAAATGCTAGTGGAACTGAGCCTCAACTATGAGAAAATTTATTATATGTTATTTTTTTTTATAACTTTTCCAGGGAAACACATTTCCTTTCCATTTTGCAGTTGCAGTGACAAATTATTGAAAAGCCAATTTGACTTAGACATCTCATAACTAAACATCTTCATAAAAAACATCCGTATTTTGTGAATCTGCTTGTTTTGGTTGTAACCTGCTGATTCTCACCCTTCACATGTAGTTCAGGCATCTGCTCTCAGCTTGTGTTTATCTCTGAGCATCTACTGGTTTTACCGCTCGCACTGAATGCACCACCTGGCTTTACTGCACTGAATGCATTCCCTCCACCGTCACACACACACACACACGCACACACGCACTCACACACACTCTTTGCAACAAACCAAATAGGTTCACCTCTTTTGCAGGGCATGATGACACAGAGAGGAAAACCCAATGATGGTCTCATTTGAGCTCCAACCTTTTAGTAAATCATTGATTGATTGTTGGGACTCGTCATCCAGTCAGTAGGTTGTTGAGACATTTTGCTTTGGACCAAAGTTTTGGACAGACGGACAGACATCCCCATCTACACACAGCTTTGTGGTCACATACTTTCTTTTTTTTTGAGAGATATTTTTGGGCTTTTTGTGCCTTTATTTGATAAGGGAAAATATGGACATAGACATAGACATAGAGAGAGAGAGAGAGAGAGAGAAGCAGTAAAAGGCCGCAGGTTGGAATTGAACCCAGGCCCCCGTCGTCACATACTTTCACTTGCCGTCTCTTGTCACTGGCTGAGAAAAGGTCTTTTTCACGGGGGTCTGTCACTTCCTGGTTGGTGTTGCTGTGTCAGCAGTCTTCACTTCCTGTTTCACAGCTGTGTGTTGTGTTGGAGGAGCAGCAGGGCGGTCAGTTTGTTTGTCAGTGCTGCTGACTGTTCTCCCGGTGTACAATGAAGGTAAACCTGGCAAGTTGAGAGAGACCCGTCAGTCATGGCGAACATGTCTCCCAACTCTGATTTCATGGAAATTCACATTAAGAAGTGATGTGATCTACAGAGCTGAACTTTGTGTGTGACTGCATTATCCTAGAGAGAATTTGGGGCTTTTCCCATTCACTTCAATGCATCTGTGTATTTTAGTCCGGAATCTAGTGGTCGTTAGAGGAACCAGATCCTTCAGTGGTCAGGGGATGCTGCTTGAAAAGCAGCTGTTTTACCTAGTTGTCTCTATTAGGACTGCACTAATTATTATCTTCAATATCGATTCATCTGACTAGTATTTTCTGGATTTATCAATTAATTGTTTGGTCTATAAAATGTCAGATATAGTGAAAATACTCATTGCAGGGGTCTTCAAATGTTTCACAACGCAAAGATATTAATTAACAATAAATATAAAACAGAAAGTTGCCGATCCTCACATTTAAGAAGCTTAAACAAGACAATGTTTGTGGGTTTTTTTATGTGAAAGTTAACTTCAGCGATTAATCAGTTTATCAGAATAGTTGCAGATAAAAGTTTTTGGTGATCAGTTAACTTAGTATTTGTTTCAACAATATTTCAATAATCTGAACGCATAAGTGTTCTTTTATGGGTTGAAAAAATAGTGAAATTGCCATCACAACTTCCCAGAACCCAAAGTGACGTCCTTAAATTGCTTCTATTTGTCCGACTAAGTCCAAAATAAAAAGATATTTCATTTGCTTTTGGACAAAGATGAGCAGCAAATCCCAAAACGTGATTGAGAAAGTATTTATTACTCTAGTTTAACAGAAGGTGAACCACCACACAGGACAGACAAAAACATCCCTGACAATCCATGTTCCAGATCGGCAGCAGGTCTCGGTTTTACCCAGTAAAGTGTTTCCTTGTATGCAAATATAATGACGACAAATTGAAATGAATTGAAGTGAGACTGAGATCAACTTGGAGGTCGATAGCGTGAATTTCCTGGGACAGACTTGTAAGGTGATGTGAACTTACATTTCTGGACTTTTGTATGGATTAGTCCTGGTATTTATTTGTCCCTTTTTTCACAGTACAGCTTGATATATTTACTAGGTTGCAGTGGTGGAAGAAGTATTCAGATCCTTTAAGTACAAATACCAAAACCAAAAAATATATAAAATAATAAATAGTAAAAATACTCTGTTACAAGTAAAAGTCCTGCTTTTAAAATCTTACTTGAAAGTATAAAAGTATTTTTTGCAAAATCTACTTAACGTGCCAAAGTAAAAATAAGTATTCCAACTGATATAGTATTCTACATTATTAGATTGTTAATACTGATTCTTTAAAGTTAGAGCAGCGTTTTACTGTCGTAGCTGCTCGAGGTGGAGCTAGTTGGAACTACTTAGTCCAGTGGTTCCCAACCTAGGGTCCGTCCCCTCCAAAGGGTCAGCAGATAAATCAGAGGGGTTGTGAAATGATTAATGGGAGATGGAAAAAATAACAAAGTTCAGATAGACACATTTATATTATACTAGCTACAACAACCAAGGGGCCCCAACTTGATACTGTTTTTGTTGTTACAAACCCTACAAACACTAAACTCTGTGACTTACTGAGTTACTGAG